AAACATGAAGCTGCTTAGTTCAACAAATGACATGCAAATTTAGAGAAAATATTATTATAAGCCTGACCATCTGTCTCTCTACACCTTTAATTCCCCTCACATGACACATAGCTGATGTAAAGGCATTTCATTCTCAAGTGCAGTCAAAGAGCTATTGTGGCTGTTTGCTGGAAATGACACATATACCAAAAAAAAGGCTGAATAGTTAACCTTTAACCTGGATAACTTTAGCCATAGGTAGGAGCTGGTGCAATTCTTGCCTAATTTCAGTCTCAGGACAAATTCAGGTAAGTAATGACTCTGGAATGAGACAGGCTCTTGGTTCTCCCAGTTTAAAAAAAAAATATATCATTCAGACAGAATACCGTGAACGTACAGTGTATCGAACAAAAGTGTCTTTCAGATACTTGCAAGTGATAGATATTTCAGGGACCTGTGAAATACACAAGCTATATGACTCAAACGAATGGATCTTCTAGTGAACTATCTTATTAAGAGCCCTTTTGCTATCTAACTTTTTTAAAAGAGTTACCTTTGAAATTTAGTTATTTTTTATACACTGTATTTATTTATGTATTCTTTTATTTTGTCCACTTTGTATCACCTCCGTATTCTTCCCCGTTTGATTTACAATCAATCAACCAATGATCAAATGGATAATAAACATTAAGAATAATAATGAAAAAATCAAGAATAAATGCCAAATACGATTTTTAATAGAGATTGCAAAGAATCTGGCATTTGAGCCAGAATACACAGTCATAAATAAAAAATATACACAAACCATAAATTAATTCAATTTCAAGCATTTAACTGTCAACGAAAAAAAAAAATCGAACCAAAAAAGATAAGAAAAAAAAATTCAACATTTTTTTTTCAAATACAACAATAAGGTCCTCTTCCTTTTTTTACATCTTGGAATATTACATAGTTGTTTGGTCCTTAAGTAGAAACTATGGGATTCACACAGTAAACGTATAGGGCTCGTCCAGTTTCACAAAAATATAACAACCCCTGCAACAATCAAAAATAAAAAATAAAGGGAAACAAATGACAAAGGGACTCAGAGATCAACCAAGCAGACATCTAAAAGGGGCAAACAGGTACAGTTTGAAATGTCTAAGTTTCAGTCAGGTTGCTTGACCATTAGTGTAGACCACCTGGCCCTCGAAAAAGGGTTCAAACAGCATTTCAGACACATACTATTTTTTTTTAAATCATTTTTTTTTTGTAATATATATATACAGCCGGGCATGAAAAGTCCATTGTCTGGTGGAGAATTAGGAAGAGTTCATGATGGGTCTAGAATACACACCTTGATAGTATGAGGTGTCACTATGAATTGGAGAACTTTCTATCCCATTTTTGTTCGTTACTGTGCTCATAGCTAAGCTTCCGGCCATTGGAGAGCCATAGCCAGAGTAGTGCATAACCTGTTCGTATGCCTTTAAGTCCATTTTATGGTGGTGGTGGTGATTATGATGGTGGTGGTGATGATGTTGCTGTTCAGACATGAGGTTATTGATGGAGAAAGGGTGGTTGAAAGAGTAATGGTGTTCTGGCTTGAGGTGAGACTGAGCCTCATGAGAGAGGACTGAGTGGTGCTGTGAGAGCAAGTGTTGAGCTTGAGAGACTGGAGATGTTGTGTGGTCTGGACTCAAGCCTTGGTTGGACTTCATGTCTACTAGGGACCTTTTCTGCTCTTGGCAAGGTGAGGAACTGGAATGGGGGGACTCATGGCCTCCAGAGCTCTCTGAGCTGCTGTTAGTGGCAGCAGATCCAACACTGGAAGACCCTTCAGAGAGTTTCTTACCACCACCTTCTCTTGGGGTGTGCTTTTTGTCACACTTGAAGCGCTTCTGTCTCCTCAGGTAGCAGCCGTTCTCAAACATGTTCCCAGAGTCAGGATGGAGAGTCCAAAAGGAGCCTTTTCCCGGTTTATCTGGAGACCTGGGCACCTTGAGGAAACAGTCATTGAAGGACAAAGAGTGGCGTATTGAGTTCTGCCAACGCTGTTGGTTCTGCCTGTAAAAGGGGAAGAGGTCCATGATCCACTGGTAGATCTCACTCAAGGTGAGCATTTTATTTGGGGACTGTTGGATGGCCATGGTAATGAGCGAGATGTAGGAGTATGGTGGCTTGGCATGAGTATAACTTCTCCTGTAGGTCTTGGGGTCTCTGGACCTGTTAAGGTTGGATTGTCCATAGATAGGGCTCATTGAATTGATGTTGGCATAGGGTGCCAAGGCGTTCATGGACGTAGTCTGGGCACTCATTGGACTCATGTTAGGGCTCAGGTGACTTGCCATAGTGGCCACCCCGGTACCCATACCAGCCATGGCCCCAGTGCCAGGTGACATTCCGGTCAGGGATGGACTCATTCCCGTGTTAACATAGGACATATTCATGGTGCCTGCGCTCATGTTGGCTGTGGTACTCATAGCAGACATGGTCATGTAAGTATTCATAGAATTCATACTAAGTCCAGCGTTCATGTTGCTCACGGATGAATAACTCTGTAAAAAAAGTAATACAAAAAAAAATCTATAAAAAATCTTTTACTCGCACCATTTAACAATAATTCAGCGTGTGCACTATTAAGTGAAAACGCAAAGCAACTTAATAGAGGATGAATCACACAATTAATCAATCACTATCAAATTATAACATAAATATATATATCCTTTAATAAAGTCCCATTGTACTGCAGACATTCTTTAAAATAAAGAAAAGAAAAATGAAAAATAGAAAAAAAAAGAATGAAAAAGAAAGGAAAGAAATTAAATTAACGATAGGAGCATAGGTGTTATTTGGAAGCAAGGTGTACGACATATATTTATTTATTTAAGTTTGTCAAAACAGAAAAAAAATAGCTTATCGCGTGAAACCCGTTGTTATGTAAGATAATATGGCAAGATCTATTTATTTTAAGAAAAGGTAATTTCTATTTAACTCCTCCTACCAAATATGTGCCTGGCAAATAATTGTCCATATGGAAGCACAAGAAAGGAGAATTGAAATAAATATTGACATTTTGTTTTTGTACATCTGCGTGACTTCTATGTACCAAGCGATATTAATACTGTTGATTTAATAGCAGTAAAATAATAAATAAAGAATTCTTAATATTTAGAGACACACAGTTTTCTCTCTCTATTATAAAGATATGATTACAGGGGGAAAAAAATCTAAATTAGCAGCTAGCTGGACTGTGCTCACTTTGTCCAGTGATTAGATGAAAATGTCATTTTAAATACAAGTTGATCCTTGAGAAAGTTTGATTAGCTGTTATATTTGCAAGAAGAAACTTTCTTTATTTTATCCCTCTCCCTTCCCTCTCCCCCAGTGTCCCCCCCTCCCCACCCCATGCCAAACACAACTTTGTTGGGATAGTGTGTGGTTCAGTCATCGAAGAGGATTTGGAGGCGCCACAAGTCAATATTTGATCACAAAGTTAATATTATCCCAAGACTAACAGTGTGTGGTATAAAGAGACAGTATGAGAGTTAAAGATGACATAAATGAGAAGAAGCCTGGTCTCCTTACCTCTGGTTCTCCATAGTAGCTGCTCCAATCTGAATGCTCATGTCCTTCCATTTTTACAGCTCCTAGCATACTGGAAGCACAGTGCATGCCAGTTTAAAATTTAACAGCCACAACAACTACGACAGCGATAGCAACACAAAAAGAGAGAGGGAGAGAGAGGGAGAGAGAACAAACCCTCCCTCTACAACACTCCCTCCAAACACTCCCTCTCTGTGTTAGCTAGGAGGGGGACTGGGAGAGCTGAAGGTGACTTAGAATGTTGGGCAGAGCTGTGGAACACCAGCAGAACTTGGGCTTCTGCAATGCTGGGGCAGCTGGGGGGCTGGGGTTTGGGGGAAGGAGGACAATGGAGACTCAATGAGTGAATGAGAGGTGCTGGCTGAACTCTGAGTGATGATAATAGAGCTGTGGTGACGTTGTTGCAGGGTGATATAGCACCCTGCTCCAGTCTAGCCTCCAATCCCCAAGTCCTCTCTCTGCCTATTTGAATAATAAGCTCACACCTAGGCGTGAGACTCTGCCATAGTCCCACTATTATACACCTGTCTAATACTCGGAGAAAGCCAATTTGAATACATTCATTAAGCTTTAATCTGATTGTCCAGCCTAAAAGAGGGGAGGTGGGGGAAACAAAATCTAATGTGGGAACAAGTGCACTGACTTGGTAGAATGTATTCAGCCTTTTTAACTCCATGATTTTTCAATCTTTTTTTTTGTCTGTAATGTGTATTTTCTGCTAAGTACAGGCAAGGGAGAGGCTCTCTGCATTCACTAAAAGTTATTTATTTACTAAGGTGCGAGATGCAGCGACTTAGGGTACAAACTTGCAAACATTTAGAGCAAATCAGAAAAGTCTGTAATTGGATTCCAACATTTTATTCAAATCGGCTTTTTTTTTTGCCTAAATTTTAGAAGTCGTTTCTAAAGTCCGTTTTAATCAGTAGACAAAAAGTAAATATATTCCTATGTGTGAAACTGTGCGAAGTGACACGCACAAACACAGACACGCAGTCAGACACAAACACACACACATAATTATAAATAATACTGTTTATTATATAACATAATGCATTAACATTAGAATCAAACACAAATCAAGAAATCACGGCTAAAAATAAATGAAGCATGGATTTAATATAATTCTAAGTCATTTTCTTAAAACCTGTGTGATATTTTAGTAAAACAATAAATAATAATTGACAAATTTGACAAATCACAGCATTAATAAAAGGGAAGATTTAACGATATACACAATACACAGAATACATATGATATATGATATATGATATGATATATTATATATTATATAAACAAGTGACATTACACTGGAGTCTTGACAGTAAAATAAAAACAAGAAAAAAACAAACAAACAAAGTACTAGGACACAACATTTTTTTACAATAGTAATATTAAACTTAATAAAATCAAATGAACAAACAGATCAGTAAAAATAACACATCCATATTTAAATCACAAAATCCAGTCCATGGTTTTCGCTGCAGTAAATTATTATTGAGCCCAATAAATGCGATCAGAGTTCTCTGCTTTTCAGAAAATAAAAAAATAAAAAACCAAAAAGAGTAATCCAAGGAGTCCTTGCCAGTGGCATGTAATGTCAAATAGAAATAATTCTAATAATTCAATATATTAGGTGTTTTCTGGTGACAGCAGATCCGTCAGTGTATTCCCAGGCACCTGTGCTAGTTCTGACTGCTTTACACAGACTAACAGGGCTGCAACATATATTTATTCTGGAGAACACGTTTGCTGTTTGAGATATTAAACAAAGTAAAGTTTATTTAACGTGTTTGATCATCACAGATTTAGCAGATCGTCTCAGCTATGGTCAATAAATTGGGCCTTAGGAAAACAAGGGAATTCTGAAGTGGAATGAAGCCTTGAGTTTCGTTTGTACAATCCAAGAGCATGTACACAGGCTAATCTCATACAGATAGAAAGGATTATGCATACACACACACGTTTATATATATATTTACACACACACACATTTATATATATAGACACATATACACACACATATATGTATATACACACACACACATACACATTTAGATAGATAGATAGATAGATAGATAGTTAATACAATGTTAAACGAAAATCTGCACACCAGTCAAGCCATAAAACTTGCTTTTCCCACAGAAATAAAAAAAATCAAGTCTTATGGCTTAACTGGTGTGCAGATTTTTGTTTAACATTGTATTAACTATCTATCTATCTATCTATCTATTAACTATCCACAGACTTCAGGTGGGAGGGGTTTTCAATCACAATTTTTCCCCACCATAACCTATTTGGATTTTGCTATATATAGACACACACACACACACACACACACACACACACACACACACACACACACACACACACACACACACACACACACACACACACACACACCTACCTCTCATATATGTGTGTGTATATGTGTATACCTCTCTATACATATTATATAAACACGTTATATATATATACACACACACAAACATAAATCTATGGATATATTATTTATTATTTGCACATTATAAGTCACATGTGGTTAAAGATTTAAATATTATTTGTGAACGTGTTTTTCTGTGTATATTCCTTGTCAATGTGCGTTTGTGCATTCACCCCTACTTAAAATGTGAATAGTTTAGTAGTAGTGTCTGGCTGTCATAGTGACTGTGAAAAAGTTATGTCACGATTAAAACATTGTATGATTGTCATTGTTATGAGAAATGTTATAATGTAGCAAGTGCTATTCTAGAACCCATTCTATGTATTCTATTCTGATTCCAAAATATTTGGAGCTGAAATGTACCTTGTATTTCTAACAGCAGTCTAGCAGTTTTAAATAAATCAAATAATAATAATAATAATAATAATAATAATAATAATAATACAAATAGAGAAAATAAAAAGTATTTAAACTGTCCTCAATAAATAAATAAATAAATAAATAAATAAATAAATCCTAAATAAATATTAAACCTACGGTTTAAGGGTTTCTGGAACTCATCTTATCTTTAAAATATACTGGTTTTACGTAGAAACACTGGGAGATATTTGGGAGATCACGATTAAAAGGTTGGAGCGATGGGAGAGAGGATAGTCTTGCTGTTTCCAAGCACGGTATGTTACAAAGTGTAGTAGAAGAGCGCCCCCTGTTTGTCATTGATTGTATTTCTCAAATGAAGAGGAAGTAATCTTATTGCACAGCAGGAGTTGTGGGATCTATCCACTAAACAGTAATATTGTGCTGAGTTTAGAACTGGTTTGGAAAATGTTATGGCTTATTCACTAAACAACAACTTGTGATAAAGCCGTTTAGGCTAAAGTAGTCTACATTGAAAAAACAAAATCATTACTTTTCCAAATAGGATATTTTGACTTAAATTCTGATAGATGGTCCTTAATTCAGCAAACTTTGGATAAACCTAAAAATCACAGAATTACCTTATAAATTATATACCGAATGCAGATTTCCTCAGATGATTGAATTCAATTTACAAGCAAATACATTTAAATGTATTGTATTATTTAAATTGATGTAAGGCAATTTATACATGATAAGTTTGTAAGTTACACTTGTATAGAGTTCTTGATCTATATTTGAATTCTTTTTTTTATTTACATGGTATGGGAATGAGTGTGATAACTAATTGAGTGCACCAACTGAGCATCACCAGAATTTGTACATATTTTGGGGTCCCAGATGAATAGACAATAGAACCAACTCATTCTTAATCCATACAGAGCCAGTAAAATGAATTCTACTGAGTTGCTAACAAATAGCCACTGTCAATACAAACTGCCGAGTGCTGACCTGCTCATTAGCAGGAATATAGAACAGACATGAAGTCATTCATTGAGACTTGAAAAAAAGAGTTTTTACATACAACAGAGGATAGGGTTCTTTACAGTAAAGACAATACAATGTGAACTTCTCTGCCCATAGAGGTTGATTTATCAGATTCTGTAAATAATTTTTAAAAAGACTAGATTTTCATTGTGGGGGATACAGAATATTCACGCATTTAATCAATATGTATTTGAACAGGTTGTTAATCTGAGGAGAAATCTGATTACCATTAGACTTGTGCATGGCAGAAAAGTTTGGTTTGGCAGAATAATTTTTGAAATTTTGTTTGTGACGTCCAACACTCATTCATGTGATAAGTTTGTAATATCATACATGGAAAAATACCCGGGAAAACATTCGGACAAACAAAAAAGGTCCCGAAAATGGGCCCATCAATGTATATTATGTATATATGTTGCAGTACACTGATTGGCACATTTCCTACTATTTGGTTCACAGATCAAGTGAGAAAAAGTAATCGATAGTAGGGAAAAGAGGTGGAGTAGTAAAAAACCCTATAATTATATATTATATAGGAATATAGCTTCTTTTTTAACTGGTCCTCATTTTCGCCCTCTATTGGTGACTTCCCATTTAATCTGTGAATAAAATCAACATTTAAGGACTGTCCCCTAGTCACCAATCTCTTTTTTTGGCGACATAGGTGGCACTCCGTATACCAAATCAAACAAACATGTTTGGCCATCGCGTTACTCGTTTGTTTGGTTACAAGTCTGAATGACATTTCAGAGCTATAAAATTCAGCCAACCAGTCCAAATTCATCTGAATCGCAATTCGGACAGATACTAGTGCACAAGTCTAATTGTGGAGTCAACAATGATTTTTTTCCCCCTTTTTGTGGCATAGTTGGCCACACTTCATATTTTTTTGCCTTCTTTTCAGGCAACAGCAAAAATCAAAATATGATTTAAAGGTTGAGCTTAATGTTTTTTCAACCAAGTTTATTGCGTAATTATGCAATTTGTTAACAAAGTCAAACATCTATTGAATAAATAGAGAATTGTGATCCAATTTGAAAAAAACACACAAAAACTTAAATAAAAAAATATTTCTCAGTCAGTCAATCTGGATACTTTTTTTCCATCTTGGTTTTATTGGACTCCGTCTGTGATTCCCAAACCATTCTTTAAGGAATGGCAGTGGTCCAAGAATATTCCTTTTTTTTTTAATTTATTTTTTTAATGGGGATATTGGAATTCATATCAAGACAACCTCATTACATAGGTTTGTTGGTTACTCAGAACATGGACTCTGTACATAGCAAATTGTTTTGAGTAAGAATTGCATAACACAGATAAACAGATATACAGACATACAGACAAACAGAAAGACACACAAAGATAGACAGACTTGGAAAGAGTAAAAGAAAGAAAGAAAGAGCAGTTGCAAGTCAGTGCAGTTGTGGTTTGTCTTTTTAGAGAGAGGATATGTGTATGTTACAGATAATTTGTAAAGCAACAGGACAGTAAGTGTGTCATATACGAAAATATGTCTTATTTTAAAATGTAAAAATAAAAAATAAATGTATCCATTTCTTTTCTGTTAATCTTGTGATCTATTCACAGTTTTGCAATTAGTTCAACAAACATGACTCAAAATAAACAGACACTCACGGTAAAACATAGGTAACATATGTAATGGCTCATTTCCAGCCGCCTCTATTCAAGAGAGATAAGATGCACATTTTGAAATGAGGCCGCATTAAGATGTCTTTGTAAATTAATGTGCCATAAATCATTGCCTCTTCCCACATCTTCATTCCCAACAAGAATAGATCTACTGTACTTTGCCAGGTGTTTACCTCCCCCACTGAGAGGATTAAAACAATGGCTGACAAGGATGTGTCGCTATTAAACAAGGTCTTAAATTGGCTTATGTGTACAAATGCACTTATGCAAGCCTTTGCAACACTACAGAGCTAGTGTGTGTACAGGGGTGCACCCGGCTTGTGAATACAATTGCAGAGATACGTTTTCTATGGAAAAGAATCTACCAAATGCTGCAAGCATTAGCTTTAATTTAGGTCACAAGCTTTTTAACCGCTTAGTGACCAGACCGCTTTTCAATTTTCTTACCACCAGGGCTCTTTTTAAATTTCTGCGTTGTTTGGGTATAGCTGTAATTTTCCTCTTACTCATTTACAGTACCCACACATATTATATACTGTTTTTCTCGCTATTGAATGTTCTTTCTAAAGATACCCTTATTTTCATCATATCATGTAATTTACTATAAAACAAAATAATAAAATATGATGAAATTTTTTTAAAAACCCAGACTTTGACCTCCAAAATCTGTTACGCATCTACAACCGCTGAAAAACACCTGTGCTAAATAGTTTCAAAATTTTGTCCTGAGTTTAGAAAGTTATAGGGCTATAAGTACAAGTAGCACTTTGCTATTTTGCAAGTTACATTGTAACACTGATATCTGTCAGGAATCCCTGAAGAAACCTTCACATGTATATATTTTTTAAAAGAAGACAGCCTAATGTGTTAAATTTGGGCTATTTTGACTCTTTTCATGCAACCATTTTACCACCAATCTAAGCCAAATTTAATAAAATAAAAAATAATAATTTGTGATTTTTTTGAAACACATAGCAATTTAAGAATACATGTACGGAGAACTTTAAGGGTTACTGCCAAAGAACACCCCAATATGTGTTCAGAAACATCTCCTGAGTACAGTGATACCCCCCATGTATAGGTGTGTCAGGTTCTCTGGGTGCTAAAAGACCTTATTTGCTGGGCTTGCATTTCAGTTTTCCAACTTGGAATTTTCTCAGCTGGTCATCATGCACCCATGTCCTATTTGGGACATTTTTGAAGCTGGTCAATGTACCCTAGGGTATTTCAAATGGTGGTATTTTAACACATTCCATGCACTAATTATACCACCAGAC